TTTGTTTCTTCTCATTTTTTACCATCCCTGGTTCTCTCCCATGCATAGGCATTCCGGCAAGAGAGGAATACCAGGATAGTATAAACAAACATGACAAAGTAACAGGTACAGCATTGTCAGCTTCAGCAAATGTACAAATTAAGCTAACCCTAGACCTCACTGCATGAATTCCAGCCAGGCCACACTACATGGTCTCATTATAGTTACTACCACTCCTAAAAAAGATTTGTCAGCCTAGATTTCATCAAATTACAAGTAGCTTTCCAACTGCAAAGCAGTCAGATAACAATATTCTGCAGCTGTGGCAAGCACCTACTCCCAGATCTCCATATTCATCACTGTATGCTCAAATGGAGCTGACGAACATCTTCCCTCCCTAAGATCAGGGCTGAGTGAGATCTGTGAGCTAACGTTCACAGCCAATAATAAAGGTCACCTGCTCCCATCTCCTGCTGAGCCTGCTTATATATCCCTTTTTTGTTGGTCTGTTTTTTTTTTTAAATCTACTTCCTGCTACGGATACTGATTGCACATATTTATGTGACATATGATGGTGGTGAAGATTCTAGCACTGCCTTGTGTTTCAGTTTCAGGATACCTTGTCAGGTCCAGTTCCAACACCTGTTAATTTTGTGACCCCAGCTTCCATGACTTTCTTGTAGTGCCTCAGCTCCTGCTACTCCAGTGGATTACCTCTTTCAAACATTCTAACTTTTCTCCAGAGCTCTCAAGGAAGGAAGAGGCGAGAAAGAAAATAAACAAGAGCTACTGTTGCATTTTGTGCAAGTTGGGACTTGCAGGGCTTTCTCCATCTCCACCACTCCTGAAAGTGTTGGTAGATGCTCTAATAATGAGGAACATTGAAGTATTTTGTAAGTCCCTGCTTGTATCTGTCACCGGCTGTTTTCTTCTCAGGGGGTGAGGAAATGGGATGGCATAGGACATAGCAGGAAACATGGAAGTTAAGTGTCATATATCATTGTTAAGCTATTTCTGACCTTAAGAGCAAATGTAAAACACAGTTCAAGAGATAAGTCACCTTAACACACTGAAGTGCAGCTGTCCTCTCAGCAGAGGAGGCAAGCAGGGATATCTAAGCAAATGGGTTAATATCACTCTAATACAGTGACTCAATATGATTGTTTTGACTAATGAGTACTTAACACTTAATCATAGTATTCAAAGCACTTAACTAAAACATGTAATTAAGACATCACACAGGAAGGTCAGCACTATTTTGTACTTGTGAAAACTGGAGAGAGGAAACTACTTTAATAGGGCCACACAAGTGAGTCAGTGGCAGGCAGGAGTGCAAAACCCAGGCTTTCTATGTAGCGCATGTTCTTGTGGATTATACTCAACAAATATTAGCAGAGAGTACATTTTATATTTTTATGCATCTCCTCTGGTCATCAACTATGTCAATGAATGCACAAAAAAGTCTGTGGTGAATCATCGTCCTATGTCAGGACTTCACACTGTATCTCTCTCACTCATTCTGAGGAAGCCAGGTCTATGATCAGTCTCTTCAGACATTTTCTATGTCTGAAAATAGATTTTCAAACATATTTTAGGAAACAACTGAATTATGTCACCTAGATTATCAGGCCCATTTTTTAGTGGCTTGGGATCACTGTCAAAATATGAATTGCTTACCGTAAGAATGCCAAAGTATGCCAATCTATGCCAGCTGAGTTAGTGGCCTAAGGGCTGGTTTTTGCACTGTTTTTGCAGGGTGTAGTATTCAGCAACAATAGACTGATCTCTGGCATAAATATCCACTAAAGAAACACCACGTACATCAACTGTGAATACCATGAACAGGGAGCAACTATATCAAGAATTTGTTGCCAATAACCTTTATAATTGCAGGGAAATCCCGGATTCCATTTTGGGTTTCCTTCTTTATCCATGGACTTTGGAAACATTACTACATTTAATGGCAAACAATACAAATACTATTTCATAGTCTTCTGGACAGCTTTTTAAATGTAGTGCTCTTGATCTTTACCAGCTGTTCAGTCAAATTTGGTGTAAGCCTGTTTCTTTGTGTACAGCCTGCAAACAATGCGGATTGTAAAATGAGTAGGGCACAAACCCAATTTCAATTGCAGGCTGGGATTCCCCTATGCTTTTACAGGGAAACTTGGTTGATAACTGTGTTTTCTATTGGGTGAGGCATAGAGACCAAACCCACTGTATTTAACCTTTGAATACCAGAATACCACACAAGTTCTAAAGCCAAGCCATTAAAATAAGGAAGGAGAAATAAATCATAGTGCATAATAAAAGCTTGGTTGTTCCTTTGTCATAACTCAACCCACAATTGTATATTTTCATGCTGTTTAAATTTTCATTTACTTGCATAAACATCCAATGTTTTTTTGTCTTTTCCTTTCGTGTACTGAACAGAAGTACAGCTTGTGGTATAGTAATGAAACCTGGATGTTGCCTTGTATAAGGCAATGCAAAGATGTCTTGCTGAATACATATGATAAACTAAGAATGACTCATAAAACTATAATAAGATCTGAAATCTAATCAGTGAAGGGTTTTTAAGTCACATACCTCAAAACAGTTGTGTCACTATTTCCCTCTCGCAGCCCATGCTTAATAGAATGAACAACTCAAAGTGAATAACCAAAGTGGAGTAGCCAAGGAGGTCAAAACTGCTTACATATATTCAGGAGACACAGCCACCTTAAAATCTGATCTGCTGGTCAAACTCTAGGGTTTTAGTTATTAATGCTGCTCAAAACCTTCTGACAGCACCCACAGTCCGAAAAAAGTAGCAAAATGCAAATCAATAGCTTTTCATTCCCCTATTGCTTGATGAAGAGTCACACAACCTCAGGGTTGACTCTGCAGAAGAGAAATCCACTTATATAAACTTATCAGAAAACTTCATAAAGAAAAAAACAATTTTCTGTAATACTTGTAGCAATAGCAGCTACAGAAAACTTATGGTGGTTTTAAAATTACAGTATCTCACTATCACATTAAGCAAATTGCTATAAAACATGGCATTGAAAACAGCACACATATTGCACATAGACAAGGACAAATTTTAAACCCTGGTTAGTGCCCCTATAAAGACCATTGAGGCAAAATTATGGAGGAAGTTAAACAGCTCCCTTTCAAACTAACACAGGTAAGAATGGGATGGAAGCCACAAATTGTGGTCAGTTTTGTAGGGAAATTGAAGTTACTTCCAAAGGAAAAGGAAGGAGTTTTCTCTAACAAGCTAGTAGTGAGACTCCTAATTTCATGTAGCTAAAATGCTCTGCAGTAGACTGAAATGCTGTGCTGGCAGTAATTTATCCTGTTGAGATCATTGTTGTTTCCAGTGAGAAAACATTTTTGTCTTAAAAAGTCATTAATGTGTTCAAGATTCCACAGAATACAACTAGCAAAAACATCACATAGAGAACATGAACTGAATCCTGTCTTTAACATTACAGATGATTCATTGATTCCATTATAGTGGAAACAATGTATTTCCCCTGTAAACTAAAGCAAAACAAGACAAAACAAACAAACAAAAAATCCCACAAAATGACAAAAAAAAATAAAATACAAACCACCAAAACCAAACAATACGACACCTTTCTCATTTATCCAACATTCATTTAATACGTTGTAGGACAAATCTATATCTTAAGCATCCAATGAATCAATCTTCTTACATGCATGCCTATGACAGGGAAAGATGCTGTTTAAGGTCCTCAGAGGTAAACCCTATCCGCTAGAGAGAGCCCCACCATAAAAAGGCTGGTATTGTTTTTCACATGCTGAGCCTGACAGTCACACACTCTGTGGAGGGATAAATTAGAATGGTTAATCATCTCTATTTTAAACTCTCATTGCAGCAGACTGAGGAGCATAAATTATTTAAAATGCACGTTTGCATTCATAAATGTTAAGTATATTAAAATTCTTTAAAAGTCCTCAGCCACATCTAGAGATTAACATCTTACGACTATACTTTATGAATCTGAAAACATTATTTAAGTAGATAGTCACTACAGAATTTAAATGTGGGAATATTAAACAACTTCAAGGGAGGGGTCCCTCAACCTAGTGTTTTATAAGCATCTTTATTCCTGATATTTTCTAGGATAAACATATAAAATATAGAATAACTTGCTGAAACATGTACTAACTTAATATCTGTGTAGTACCACTTTAGGATGCCTCATTGCCTCTCATAAACACTGGCATATTCAAGAAGTCTGAACAGACAGCCACTGTCTTTCATGCCATCAATTCTGCTTCTCTGGAGAAAGTACATAGTTATCATTCTCAACTAAGACTAAAAGTCAAATACACTATTATTTTATTCCTTATTATTATTATTATTTATATATCTTTCAGATTATTCTTACAGTTTCAAAATGCCAACAGAAGTAGGATATCTCCACACTGCCCCTTTGTGGGGATATTTGGAAACATACAAATTTCAAATATACTAAAGAGATGGCATATGGTTCAGACTCCACTTTATGCACATACATAAGTAATTAATTTAACACTGCAGTTCCATTCATCCCACAAAATTAAACCCAGTTTTTATGCTTTCTCAATCTTAATTCATTTTTTTTTTCACATGAAAGTCAGTATTATGTATTCCCAACATAATTAGCAGTTTCTGAACCCTTCCATCCCTTCCTCCTTCATCTCTTTGGCAGCACTGCTCTTGCAAACACTGGCTCTCCAAAGCAATGAATATGAACTTAGTAAATTTTTTCAAATACAAAGGACAGATTTAAAAGGTACTAACAACAGCAGCTGGAAATTTTGTAAGATACATTTCTTACTCCCTTCCTAACAATCAGTTTTGCCACTTTGGACACTTGATTCAGAATGAAAGAAATATAAAGTGAATGTTCAGGACAGCTGAATTAGTCTTCCATTTTTCTTTCTTGCTTTTCTCACTATTATTTTGGCAACATACAACTACTAAATTAATAGCTGGCAAATAGGAATAAGCAAGAGATTACCTGAGAACATGAAAGTCCACATTCTTCAATCCTGGGAATAATCTGACAATCAGAATTCCAAAAAAGAATTGTTAGAAGAATCTGAACATGAATATTTATCATCCTAAATTGGAAAAAAAAAAAAATAAGAAAGCAAAACCTCAGAAGAAACCTTCTACTCTGACAATTCTCCCTCTCATGCTAAAACTTTAATATGAATTTTAGTCCCTCCCACAGCACTTCTGGACTCCTCCCTCTAACACATTTCAAAGAAAGAAAATTGCTAGTTGTAGGAAACATAAAACACGTTCAACTCATGTCCCATTTTGAAAAACGGGAAACATGAATTTCTGACAATCACAGTCAAAGCATTTTCCTTCTGGATTTTACCATGGCAGCTTCATACCAGTTTTAACAAATTTCTTTTCTGTAAATTCTGTGTGTAAGCAGGAATTTTGTTTCTAGAGTGATGTACCAGGCAGGTTCACTGGAATCCAAATGCATTCTTACATCTACTTGTTTTCTTGGTTTTCTGATGCATTAAATAAAAAGAAAAACAGCTTTGCCAAAGCAGCTCAACATCACCAGCTCTAAAAGCAGGGTGCAAGTGAGTCCCAGCACTTCAATAGCTGTTAGCACAACAAAATGCCCAGGAATGTCTTTCTGGGTGCTGCCTTACATAGTCCCACTACTCATCACAAGGAACAAGTATTCCAAAAACACATTTTCTGGTTCACATGGCTCTATGTGGTGTGTTATGCCCATAGGTGAACTAGGGAGTTATTACTCCATAGGGAGGGCTTGCTCACAACTAAGCGAGCTATTATTTAGTAGGACAGTACCAGAATCCAAGTTCTCGGTGCTCTTGCAAAACCTTTCACAACAGTTAAAGTAGGGAATACACAATTAACACCATCTGCTAGGATGTGATTTCACCAATGTTCTTTTTTAACAAACAGGTAAAAGACAGTGTCTACTCTGCCAATGTATCTACTGTACTTGTATTTTAGATACTTTCATGTGAGTCCAGTTTATCAATTTTCCAGTAAGACTTCATTTTTGGAAGAAAAAGAGCAGTATCAATCACAGTACTGATCAAATACACCAGATCAAAGATCTGCCCAGCCCACTCTCTTGTGCCTAACAGGATTACAGTAGCAGATGCTTAGGAAAAATAAGAAAGAAGTTAACTATGCTACTTCCATGGATTATTTTAACCTATATGCTACCAGTTCCAATGACCTGGGTCCTACAGATTTCCTGAGCTGAAAGCCATGTGCACAGTACTGTTTTTAATAGCTTTTATTGACCTTTCTTACATGAATTTATACCACAATTCTTTGCATCTATTTATCCTTCCAGTTTTCAAAACTTTTGTGGCAACAAGTTACACAACCAAACTATGTTTATTTGTTTTGTTTTTAAAACTGCTTCCAAATGGTTCAGTTGGGTTCCCCCCTTGTTCATGTTTTAGAAAAAAAATAGAGAATATCCATTCTCATCTCACCTTTGCCAAAACAGCCACAATTTTATTGATTTCTAGTATATCACCCAATTTTTCCTAAGACTATATCCCTTCATTTTTACTATACTGTTTTCTGAGATAGCAGGTCCCACACACAATATTCAGGAGTGAGCAGATCAAGGACCTTTTACACAATAGCACAGTGATGTTTACTGAATGATCAGAGTCATGATGTTCCTCTACCAAAAAGACATTTTGACTCTGCTTAGTGGGTCATTTAGCAGCATGTCTACTGCAAGCAAGCCAGTTTCAGCACACTCCACAGTTTGTAGTTTTGCAGCCTCAATTTCCATTGTAATTTATGGGTCCCTGTAGAATACTGTTTGACTACTGTTTCAGATACTAGTCTAAATCTTTTGGATTATTTGTTTTAAACTTAGATCTGAGACAACTCCTCCAACTCACTCTTCAGTAGCTTCTCCTGTAATGAACTCCACTGCAAGCAAGCAAGCACTTCATGTTTTTTTACTGTCATTGCCAGAGTCCGACTGCATAAAACCCAGTATCTGACTTACTTGTTTTGTGACCCCGAGAGTGAAATTAAGATGCAAGTGAAGTCAAGTACCATAATTGATCAGTTTCTTTTATAAAGATGATTATTACAGAAAGATAATTATTATAAAAAATGAAATTATTATACAAAAATCTAGCAATAGGACAGATCGGAAAAAAAAGACAGAAATTAAGCGAGCACTGAGAGTGCAGAGAGATAGTCACCACTGTGGGTCCATAGTCATCATCTTCAGTGGTGGGTGTCCCCCAGGGTCCATAGTCCTCATCAGAGGTGGGTGGCCAGAATGGTGATTAACTTTTTCCCCTGTTATTATGTGCTGGGAGGAGTACCTCTGTTCTTACTGTCACGTACTGCATGTTCCTGGTGGATTACGTGCATCCAGTTTTGCTGATCTTGCAGCCAGCTCTTCAACTGCGCATGTCTGTCAGCAATCCTTGACATAACGGGCAGCAATTCCCTACACCAATCCTTGATGGTGGAGTCTTAGCTCAGCTCCTCGCACCCATCTCCCAGGGAACGGATGGTGGAGTCCCATCTCAGCTCCTCACAGCCATCTTGGATATAGTGGACCTCAGCTCCCCACACTCATCTTTGAGACAGCGCGTGATCGAGTCTGATTTCAGTTCAGTCTCTTACAGCCATTAGATTGCTTGAGAAAAGAGGTCCTTTCATATCTCCATTACTAATCAGCTTCATAGATTTTTTTTAGGTGGCTTCCTTCTCATCTTTGGTTAAAAAGGGTTGGGATTGACCTTTCTTTAAAATACCATGTTGGGGGCTGCAAAAGGATGTTTTCTCACAGGTGGCATTTTGGGGAATACCTTATATATGTACTGTTACTTTTAAAAACGCTCCTTGTGCCTAGAAAGCTTCTAATCTTTCAATAGCTCCTTTTAATTTCCTTTTGAAGACATATTAATTTTATATAGCTCCTTTTTTAATTATGCATTAACATAACACATTTTTTTGGATATTGAACTCTGTCAATATTGAAGAACAGCTTTTTGGGTGCCTGCCCGGAAAGAAAACAAGCGTTCTTTCTCTTCCTCTGGGGTCTGTGATTACTTGCCCCAAGCAACAGTCCTTTGTAGTGTTTACAAATTAAGTTTCTGCATCCAGCCCTGAGGTAACACTCCTTGAGTTTCCATAGAAATGAGTGATGTTACTCACTTTTTGCATTTTCTTCTCTTACTGTTTCTGGTATTTCTTAGCACACCCCTGTCACCTTCTGAATAAAGCAGTTGGTAGCATTGCTCTAGCAGTACATTCTTTCAAGCAGAAACAGTGTTTCAGTCCAGACAGTTTCTGTAATACCTGTTATTAAGTTCAGCAGGTAACAACCTTATTGTTATTTGCTTCATTTTACAGTAAGCTTTTTTAAAAAGATGTCTAAACTAGCACAATCTATTTTATCATTCCTACATCGTTTGTGTCCTGGAATCACAGTGTTCATCCATTGCTTTTATTATGTCATGTTATGGAACCCCCATTATGGCAATATTCCCACTAAAAGCTGGGCAGTATAATGGACCAATGCCAAGCTGCTTGAAAAAAATACACAGGAGCATCTGTGCACATGAAATGTATATGGGCACTGGCTGCTGGGCTCCCTGCTCAAATGTGACTCTAATTATTGATGAGAATTATTGAAAACCATTTTTGATAACAGATTTCTTTTATTCCTTGTTCCTCACCACACCTCACCTATATTTGATCAACATTTGTCTTGTGCTTGATGGTTTTATCATTTAAATTTATTACCCGAAGAACAAATCATGGCAAAGTACATACTTGCCTTCTTCTAACAATGTTCCCTCCATCTTAACGACTCTTTAAAAAAACCTTAATATGAAGTGCCTCCTTTTGCCCTTTGGTAATTTAGACACTGTGCCCTAACGTGTTATTAGAGCACTGGTCAAGGATATAGAAAAGCCAAAATCTAAACATTTCTCCATTCAAGAAGGTTTGAGTCCAAATCTTGCACATTTCAGGATGGCAGCCTGGCTGCTCTTCTTTGTTTGTTTTAAGAAAATGCAGAGGTAGACCCTGGAGTACAGAGTAAAATCCAGTATTTCACATCCTCCATTTTCTCTTGGGTCAAGCCTGATCTCAGAACCATCAGCCCAAGTCCCTTCTCCTTAATTGCTCTCTGGCTTCATCAACTTTGATGCTTGGCTACATATTTGACCCATTGCAAGAGAGACCACTAATATAATTCTGCTATTTTTCAAGTGAGTTCAAGGAGCGTATTTGGAAATAAAAGTTAGGACGTATATCACAGACATACCTAAGCAGCCACACATGGTTTTTGTCACTTGTGTAGGAGTTTAGGCACAGAACTCCACACAGATTTCTACCTTGGCTACATATTCACTGACTTTGTTGAGAATACCATGTCAGTGTCCAGGCTGGAAGGCATGTCCCTGTCCCATCCATACTGGATAAGTCCCAGCCTCCTTTTGAGCACAATAGCCACATTCACACTACATTTTGCAAGAGTATCCTGTGGTACAGCACTACATACTTTCATGTCTCACCAACACAGACACACATATCTTATTATTAGAGCTGTCTTGAGATGAAGTACCATGGCCAGTACAGTCCCATGGCTCCTCTTTTAACTTAGTATGCCAGTCGTGCTGCCTGTACCAGGCAACAGACATCTTGCCTTAAGGCCACTCACATCAACCCCAGGACAGCTGAGTGTTTATAACTTAACAGCTTCTTGTCATGTTAGGCAAGCTCTGGAGCCGAGCTGTGTGGGGTGCTACTGTCATCACACCCAGATATGCACAATGATTCAGAACTACTTGGGAGCTGCACTTTTCCAGGAGTGTGCCTACATCTCCTGTCCAGAGTGAGCCTGCATGGACAAGTCAGGTACTCAGCAGAGGGTATAAGCAGGGCATATAAATCCCACAGAGCCACAAGACAGGTTGGTGAAGCAGGAGCTGTGCTGTACTGCTTTCCCAGCATATTACAGCTTCACTGTCTAAAAACAATTGCTCCTTATTTCAACTACATGATCCAAGAGGACCCTCACTCTCTTCCCCCACCCCATTCCTTTCCTACAAGAGTGACAAGTATTCAGCAATGATGGCAAATGTTACAGTAAGTAGCACCTTAGGAGCATTGCCAACAACCTGTAGAATCAGTCAAAATCCTAACCCTAACACAAAACTGCAGGTAGAGGCTGGAAATGTTATTCATGCGTAAGTCTGCAGTACATGAGGCAAACAAAATGCTCAGTGTGGTGCAAGAAGGCTCCTATTTCACCTGGATTATGCTGTACTATAAGCAGGCACTTAACAGTTAGACCCAGTTTGATGATATTACACATTTTGCAATTATCCTGCATTTGTGCTCCTGTGGAAAAAGCAACTTTCAAACTATGTCTTTCAGCAGAGGCAGGTCAGTGCACCAGACACCCAGGGATTAATTCCTATTTATGTACTATTAAAATCAGTGTATACTGCATTAGGCCACAATGTTTGGTTAAGAGGTGGCTTACTTCCAGGTAGAACTACTAGCTGTAGTATTATGTCCAGTGATATTGCTTCCCTGACAAAGCCAGTTTTTCCTGGTGAGTTTTTCAGTGAGTAACCAAGAGTTCCTCCTCGTATGTACTTCTCCTCTGACCACCCACAGCAGCCAATGGAGAGGACCATGGGGAGCAACTATTTCCTTGAAGCTCCTGAACAAGGATGGAGAGAGAGTAATAACTGTGTACCAACTGCACTGCTGCCATCCTCCCTGCATCACTTAGGGTTGGGGAAAGGAATCAGGATGGAAAGAGTGAAGTTCAGCCTGGGACAGAAAGGGAGGAAAGGTGGCGGTTTAAGGTTTGTTTTTCATTACCTCAATCAATTTTAATTGGCAATAAATGAATTTTCTCCAAGTCTGTTTTCCTGTGACAGTAACTGGTAAGCACCCTCTCTGTCTCTATTGTGACCCACATGCTTCCTTGTCCTATTTTATCCCCCTGTTCTGCTGGAGGAGTGCGAGCACTTGGAGTTTAGACCTTAGCTAAAGTTCACCCACCATAGGTATCAGACAGGCAAGGGGGTCCATGCTGGTATTTGAGAGGAAACACAAGCACAGGGCGCCTATGAGATGAGTGTGCTTGTCAGCACACACCAAGCTTGACCAGCTGGCAAGTAGCAGACCTATGGACCAGGTAAGAGCACTTGGGATCTGGGCAGGGGTAGTGGACAGAGAAGCCATGCTGATGCTCAAGGGATCCACAAATGTCCCTGTGAATAGAGTGAGTGACGGTGTGTGGTTTCACTAGTGAGCTTCAATCTTGATGAGCTGAATAGGATGAGATTTGCCTGTCTCCACTTACATAAGTCCTGCGGTACTATACATGGGTACTGTTGAAGGCACTGCCTCCTCATGGCTGTGCCAGTGTCCTCTGCATGTGTGTCTCTGGGACATATGCTCAGACTTGCTGCTGGTCAAACCTGCAATCAGAAAAGCAGCAGTTGTGTCCATCAGCCTGGGACAGAGACCTCTGGGCCTCAGGACAGCCCAGGCTGGGCTCCAGCAGCCAGGCAGGAAGCACCCCCATCCCCAGAGCTGCTGGAGGGGCAGCCTCTTATAACACATCCCTTAATAGACACTTAGCACAATGAATAGTTTGAATTGGCATATACAGAATTATCTACATGCAGTTTTTGACTTACTGAGGGATCGCCCGTTGCTGTGTTTTTTTCACCCACAAAGAATCTGTGAACTGTTACCATTCTTTTCCATCCAGATCTGTTTATAGAAACAGCCTCAAGCATATGCTGGGTAAGACAGGCTGAGCAACCCTTGCAGCTGAAGGGGCAGTGCTGCTCTTTCTCTGCAGACTCCCAGCAGCACTGGTCTGACACTTAAGATGATGAGAGGGACTCTTCATTAGGGACTGTAGTGACAGGACAAGGGGTAACGGGTTCAAACTTAAACAGGGGAAGTTTAGGTTGGATATAAGAAGGAAATTCTTTCCTGTTAGGGTGGTGAGGCACTGGA